CTGTTTGAAGAATATTAGTTTCACGTTATATTTATTGCTGGTGGTTAATTTATAATTAATTATTGTAGGGTCTTTACCTTCCAAAATAAAGGCCCTTGAAGCAACTGCTGTTGTGATATGGTGCTCCCTGTTTTAATTCTTGGCCTCAACTATAGTAGCCACGGCATAATGTGCCAAATACAGCTGTGTGCGGCTGTGTAGTTCCTCTACCGTTAAGCTAGCGTGCTTCTGATTGGCCAGCCCTCTGAAACTTCCTCATTCGCAGTGTGTTTGGGATCATTGCTGACAAGAGTGATACCAATCAGATGCTTTTCAGATGGTATGCCATGGTGGCTCAAAGCTGACAGTACCTTTTTGTTTTTGAAAAGACCAAAACCATGACAGAGCCTCCACCAAGCTTCACGGATGGATGTACAGTGGACACTCACTGCTGTACCTCTCTGCTGACCTCCTCGATACATACTGATGACATTTTGAACCAAAAATGTCAAATTTGAATTCATCACTCCATGTTGACAGTGATTATCAGTCCAGTTCTTGGTATTCAACATACCTTTTTTCCTGTTTCAGTTCCTTAAGAATAGCCTCTCGACATCCACCCTTACACTGAGATCATTTCTGATGAGACTTCAGCAAATAGTAAATGAATCAACTAAAGGACCAGATGACTCTCTCAGGTCCTGTGTCAGGTTTTTGCTCGATTTTTTCCTATTTCTTGAGGACATGATTTTCTATTATTTCAATACCAAGTAAATACAGGGCCAGTATTGCAGATACCATTACCAGCACTGACATGTTTACTTTATAAAGGCAGCAGGGGAGAGCAGTGTGTAATAATTTATATGATGAATCATCATCAGTTTGAAAACTAAATCCCTGTGATTTTCATTTTTACAATAATTTGTTAACATAATAAAAGAAACCTTTTAGCAAATCATGTATTTTGAAACCGAGCTTCTTGGAGACCTGGAATTTAAATGTCCCCGACTCTAAAGCGCTGTGGGGCGAGTTCTATTGTTTAAATATGACACCGACTATAAATAAAAGACATGACAGTGAACAAAAAACATTCAGATATGTTTCATAGTGCATGTTTGAGGTATATTTTTAAGCTTTCAGATTTGACTCTGTCAGACTTTGTTAGTTTTCATTTTTGTCTTCTTTGTCTTCAGACATGATGTATCTGGGGAAATGTTTGCAATTTATAAACAAAACTGTATGAGAACAACCTACATGTCACAGTTTCAGACGCCAAAAGAGTTGGGTTGTTACAACAACCTTCGGAAACACTCTTTCAGTCTTTTAATAGTTATGACTTTCTCTGTTAAATTACCTTAAATGTGAGACATCTCCACATTGTGTGGTGAAGCCCTTCATTGCCAAATAAATTTTCTTTTGTTTGTTTTATTTTGGTTGTCTTTTTTTTTCTTGCCTATCCCATTTGGTTCTTTAGCCATCAGAATTATTGTCTGAAGGCCAAGAAAAATACCCAGTGGATTAACTTTACTAAGTGGTCCATTTGATTCATCTGGATCACCTGTTGAGAGAAGAAAACAAGCAAAAAAAAAGAGCAACATATCAACCCAACGCCATCACAATAATCTAGCTAAGTATAAATAACAGTAAATACTAAATATTGAATGCTAGTGTAGCGGGAAGAGGGAGGCAGCTGGGGATGGGGAGGGAAGGAAGGGCCAGCTCCCCCGCTGACCCCAGTAGGCACCAATACTCTCTGGAATCCACCAAGACCAGGAGGCCCAGGCCCATCCGAACCAGGATGGGCCTGAATACAACTATTCTGTCAAACGGAATGAAGTCTGTTCCTTCTAATATATGTTCCAAGTATTTGATTCCACTCCAATCTGGGAAGTTAATCATATTATTGTTTTGTAATATGTCAGGGTTGTTCCAGATAGGTGTATGTTTGCATGGGATTAATGAAGACTCCGTCATTTTTAGGAACTCCCACCATGCTGTCAGAGATGCTTTTAAAGCACTCATGTCGTTTGATGTTTGAGCTGATAAACTGTTGTCGTATTAAATGTATTTTCAGCTTGGTATGAAACATTAACCACATATGTGCTGAATCAGTTATTCTATGTGATCCCGTATTGCAGTGACTTTCCTTTAACCTCCCAAGACCCGGACTCTTTCATGGCATGCATTTTTAATTTCTCTTTGCTATTTGGCCTGATTGGGACCTGATGACTGTAAAAAGAAAAAATTACTGTAATTTTTTTTTTTTTTTTTTACCTGATTTTTGTTTCTGAGAAAAATGCAATCCACATATGAGGAAATTCACAGTGGTAGTATAAATTCCTTGTAAGTGGATATCAGGCCCCTGAAGAGCAAAATTTAGTATTTTGGTCTGGACAACTCAAAATGTGATGTCCACATATGTGGACCCCAGGTCCTACGAGGTCAAGGGCTCTTTAAAACTTCCATGCGCAATGCTGGAGGACATTTGCATGGAAGGAAAGACCAGCATGAATGTGTGTGGCGTAGTGACTTTTCTCCTCCCCTCAACAGGCGGTAAACTAGATGGGAGGGAGAAGTCAAATTGAAGGGGGAAGTGTGTGGTGTAACCGAAGAGAGAAAGGGAGAAAAAACGTGGACTTACAGGCAAGGAACATCAGTCTTCAACCAGGAAGAAAGGGAGAGGACAGAGGGAGGGGGAAAAGTTGTATTTAGGGGACTCGGGCTCAACTTTGCTATTAGGACAACAATTAGTTAAAGTTGAGCTTAAATTCTTATTTTGTTATTCAATAAGGAACCTTTATTTCGAGCCCCTGTGAGAGGACACACAACTGAAGTAAGTGTATGATGTTTACTTACATTTCCACGTTTTGCCGCTGTTGTGTTCACGAGTTTAGTGTTATATGTTAAAAAAAATAAAGAAAATTAAAGAAGTAAGCGGTGGCTTGAAACAGCAGGAGGAACAATCGACCTCTGATACACGTGGCATGAGATGGACAGTGTCAGCTTTCACGATACAGACCAAACGCTGCGTATTAAACTCACAATATATGTGTGTGTGTCCACGTGTGTTTGTGCGTCCGTGGCCTGGTGAGGGGAGAAATGGCGCAAAGTACGGGCGCTCACAAAGGGAGGATAAAAATGTGAGAATCGGCGCGAGCGGCAGATGTTGAGAAAGTTTCGGAAGTGACGATTAAAATGTGTACAATACGCTCAGTGAAACCTGAGCCTTCATTTCACGGAGCATCGGAGTCCTGCCTGTTATGACTCATTTATAATATTTATAAAACCCCTGGAAAGCCATAAATGCGCACAAATGTCTTAAGTTAGGCGTTTGTTTTATTATAGCCCAATTACAGCATAACAGGGTTCTAGAGGGGTGGCATGTGGTGGAATGTGCTGGCATAGACCCCTAATGCCACCCTGTTGCATATGACACTATTGCATATTAAAATAAGATTGCATTAACACTTTGAGCCTAGCTACAGTTAACCTAGCTACAGTTAACACTAAATATAAATTCTAAAACTGAATATATTGCATAGTGTACCCCTCCCCCACCATTAACACACAAATTTTTCTTGTTTTCAGTAGCAACCGATGCTTATGATTGTGCCAGAGACTTATTGCCTTGTGCCACATGCTATACAGTATATCAAATCAAAATCACGTTTTATGTAACTGAAATGTTTAATTATGTGGGCTAAAGAAAATAATTAAGCTATAGACGATATTTATATGAAACATGTATACTTACTGCATTTGAATCTTTTTAACCATATGTAACACCTGGAAGAAACTTTACATTGGGTAGTAGTCTGATGAATTTGTTGTGCATTTAATGTATCCATACATGCCTGTACTGACTTATTAAGTTGGTTTATGTCAGTCAGTGAAAACTTGCTGGGATGACATGATGAAAATCTTGTTTGCATCTTGAAAAACCAAAAGTTGGTTGGTTTCATTGATGAGGAATCAAATAAAACAAAATAAAATGACAACCCCTTAAATGAAAGAATATATAAAAAATGGGGAGAACGATGGGTGAAGCAACTGTATGTTTAATATGTGTGGATTTTAAATGCAGCATGTCCCCAAGTCACTGGGTGTAGCCTCTAACACCCAGTCTAAAGCATCAGATAGAGCAGAGCTCCCCATTTCTCTCAGAACTGGGGCGCTGGCGTTCATAATCAGTGGATGTTTTTGGGTGATTAATGGTCACAAAACCCTTGAAAAGCAGATTAAAAATAATTTTGATCTTTAAACAGCCTAATTATATATTTGTTTCCCTTTATCCAGCCAGTATGCCTATATTTTATGTATTTATTGCTCGTTTGCCTTCTTGATTTATTTCTTAATTGTGTCACGCTTTGATGGGATCTGGAGGCCAGGGGAGAACTCCAGATTTTGACATTTGGAGCAGCACATGAACGCGTCTCCTCTTCTGCCCTGCCTGGTAAGCGGAGGCTGACTATCACACCCATGGAGAGACAGCTGCTCGCTGGCCGGGCAACTTTTGGACTCTTTGGGGAACAGAGAGGCCCGGGGCTTTGTGGTTTATTTTATTTGGAAACATTTTTCCTGCGGTTCTTATAGTCCCGCAGAGTTTGATAAACACGTCAGGTCAAGGTCATCTATATCCCCAGCAGGGAAAAAAAGAGCATGGCTGGAAGTAAGCAGCAACAGGGAGACTTGAAAGTAAGCATGATAGGGACAATTGAGCCTATATGTTCACTCAGTTGTTGATTGAGAAGGAAGGCCCTGTTCAATAATTCAAAACCCATTAAAACCCCATCCGCTTATCCAGGCTGCCAGTGGCAAAGAGGAGTAGAGTAAGTCTTGGAGTTATTGCATCATTCAGCTGCTACTGCTCCGGTATTTCAGGAAACACCCTCCTTTTGTGGAATTTATCCCAAAGCAGGCTTCACCTGCTCTAACTTTACAAGCACACACTTCACAGTGTTGTGACAGGGACTCACAACTGCCTGCCAACAAGACAAAAAGCCGGGCTTTCATGTTTTAAGTTGTTGCCACATGTCTGTCATGTGTTGACCTTCCTGCACGGTAACACAGTAGCACTCCTGTTCCCTTTATTGACAGCGTGCAGTTTACTGCAGTAGTAACAGGCACCTGGAAATGGACGGAAAAACGGTGACGAGGGATGTGTGATAAGTAGTAGTTAGTCCGAATGGATCCGTGCCCTGCATCAGTTTGTGTGAAAGCGAAGCAGATGACACCACAGCCTTTTTTTACAGTAACAGACATGTGTTTGTGATACCAAGAAGCCATGAACTCCCATTTTCATTTACTGCTTTGCCTCCTGAGCGATGTGTGTGCACGATATTTTCATGCACACACATATTTCACCATGTGTGTGTTGATGCCCCTGATTCAGCCCCCGCGGTAAATCAAATACATGTGACTGTAACTTGTATACTTAGACCTTTAATGGTCTGTGTGTTACTTTAACATTTTAGTTTGTATATGTGGAAACTCTGACACTACTTAGGAGTTACTGATTTTTTAAAATATTTTAAAAAATTTTAAGTTAATGACTTTTATGGACTTTAAGTGGCTGTTTTTTAGAGTTTAATTTTGTGCATAGTGTAGTGGTGTATATATATATCTGCTTGACAAGCAAAAGGTTGCTGGCTCAATTCTAGTCAGAGACACAAATCCTTTCAGGGGCCGTGTCATGAAGGGCAGCAGGTGTAAAGATTAGCCAAATCAATCATGTTTGACTTGGCAGAGTTACATTTGCTACCTGCTTTAAAAGTGCACATTGAGGTTAATTAAACGACAGATTTCCTCAGCGAGATACTAACTAGGTTAGGCTGTCCTTACTTCACATCAGCTTTGGCTGAAATTAACAAGATTTAGATTTACGCTAGATTAAAGAAGTAATGTGTGCATATCGACAGACACCCTATCAGGATCATCAAAATAGCAGTTCGCTTGTTGACTGTAGCAACAGCTAAGCAACAAATTTTTATCTGTGTACAGTTATCTCTTATATACAAGGACACATGGGATAACTGTAATGGTTGGGTTTTTTTTGTCTGTTTTTTTCCTCCAGGCTAAAAATAAAATACAAAGCATATATGACACATCATGCAGGATCCAAAGGGGAAATGAACTCCTTCCTTCATTTTTGCCCTGTGATTGATAGCTGGAGTCTGTTTTTATTATCATTTATAAATTTGGTTGTAAATGATAATAAACTCTATGGACAGAAAATTTGGTTATCATTTTGCCCTTTGATTGATAGCTGGAGTCCGTTTTTGTAAGCAGGTGGATCTCTGACACATTTTAAAAGCTCAAATATGAACATCTTAGGCCTTTGCAACAGTGGATCTAATAACTTTGGTTCTCTCTGGCGTGCTGGGTGGATAAAACAATCAGTTTGAAAATGGTAATGGATCGACAACAAAATTCCTAACTTAAAGATGATATGAATGGTTGTAACTCAAGTGTTTGTAGAAGTTTGGCTAAAAGTTAGCCTCTTTACTGTTTGTGTGCTCAGACTTAATTAACGGGTTAATGTGTGGATTGGGCATTTACACGACAGCGTGAATAAGCACCGTCTTCCGCTGTCACCTCATTGTTGAGTGAGTGTGTGTTGAAGGGGTTTTTGTCGTGGGGTGTCAGTTACAACGAAATCCCGCTTTTCAAACACTCTTCAGCACAAAGGCGGTTCAGCGGGCAGTGGATAATCGCATTACACACACGCCTCGTGAAGGCACACGCAAGCTTGTGAGCACAAGCGGAGACAAATCTGTCCCATTAGGGCCTCTCTGGTTCTCCAGTATGACACATGCTTAAAGGATGCCGCCATTAAGAAGCACTGAAACTGATTTCCTATTTGAGGCCTTGACTGTAGGCCTCTTCTCTCGCTGTTCCCCTCCGCCCCCTTTTGTGGTTTGGCTGCCAAATGGAATAGCTGGTCATATTTGGATCATGGCTTCTTGTTTAGATGTTTTTCATATGTGTGTTATCAGATTCATGACTGTGTTGGGCGCTCATGTTGCAGATCATTGTGACCAGTGACCTGTACTTTGTGTGTCTATGTGTGTGTGTGTCTGTGTCTGTGTGTACTTTTCAGGTGGCCGTGACTAAGATGACTTTATTTAGTCAGTCAAATCACAGCTGCTGTGTTTTTGCCCATGTGTGTTTATGTAAAAGCAGCCTGATTATCCTGTGACTTAAAACCAAAGCCAAGCTGTAGTTCCATTTGGTTTCCATACTCATTTAATCCCACTCCCCTTTGCTTTTAGATGGAAACAGCGGCACTTTAAGGTGCCACCCCAATTTCCATAAGGAAAGCAGACCAATTCAGCACTCTGCAGTGTTTCTGGGAGTCAAACTCAAGTGCTTTGTTCACAGCACAGTAGGTGAACATCTGAAGCTGTCTGGCCTAGGATTTACAAAACAGTGACTCTCCACATGGACACTTATTAGATGTACTCATCAGGTTTCAAATGTCAATGTGAATGAGAGCTTAAGTTCACAGGAAGTAAATCTGGACTGGAATAATTTCACAAACCCAAAGTCATGGAAAGTGGTGTGAGTCACTCAGACTTAGGGTTACAGTTTGTGCCTTTTTTTTTCTTCCCTGAAACAACAAACTGGTTTAGCAAAAATCCTAACATTCACGTCGCTAAAGAATTTCCTGGTCCTTAATAAATATGGGAACATTGGGAAAACATTACTGAATGTTTTTGAGCTAAAACTAAATAAGGGCTTCAAGTAATTAATGTTGTTACTTCAAACTAAGACACCGGGTAATCAAACCTTTGGAGGAGGTGGTTTAGCATCAGTAATGACTCACATCAGTGTGTAATATTATTTAATAAAATCTGTTCAGCTTATTTAGTGTGTCTGGAAGTTTTTCAAAGGTGTTAAACAAATGGAAAACCCTTCGCATTTACATTGGATGCATCAACTATCTTTTTTACTTGTTAGAAAAAAAATAAATAACCTCCATGTTTGCCTAAAGTAATTTCAATTTATCCTCCCCCTCCCTCTTTGTTGCTCCTCAATCACAGAGCAGCAGCGATGGCGCCCACTCTCGTCCAGGCCTACAGGAGGCGCTGGTGGATGGCGGTGACAGCGGTAATTGAAAACCTGCTGTGTTCGGCTGTGCTGCTGGGATGGGGCTCCCTGCTCATCATGTTAAAGAGGGAAGGCTTCTACTCTCACCTGTGCTCAGGTAAGATCAGAATCTCTGAACCTTGATATGGAGATAACACATCTATTAGACATTTGCATAGATTGTAAATAGAAGATAGACGTACCCAAAATACCAGCAGCCAAATTATGTGTTAGCAAGCTTGCTACAGTTTTTTGTTTTGGGAGGCTTCTAACTTTAAGCCCTGATTAAATCCTAACAATTCACCCCATCAACAGTTCCTATGAAGGCATAGAGACAATGCTCAAGTACATTTTAACATTGGAGTCCATGAGGACTGACTCATTTTAGAAACGTCCCTTGAGTGGCCATTTGAGGAACTGCAGGTTTTAAGGCCTCATCACTTGGAATTACTTTTCGGGAAACATATGTATTGTGTTCAAATGTGTCATTGCAATCTATAAAGCATGAGATTGTCTTGTTTTGGAAATTGCAGAAAAGTCACCTTTAAGACAAGTTTAGAAAATGGGGAAAATAATGCTTAGTTTTGGAGTCAAGTCAGAGCCCACAAAAAACCTGAAAGACCCAAATAGTTCTTGAGTGATCTCTCATCAAGCCTACACACTTGTTCCCACAGAAAATGACACAGCGCACACGTCTTTGGGTAACTCCTCTGGCCAGAAGGTTGAGGAGTGGGTCAGCTGTGTGGACCAGGAAGAGATGCTGAATCTGGGCTTCACCATCGGTTCCTTCTTGCTTAGTGCCACCACCCTCCCGCTTGGTATCCTGATGGATAAGTTTGGACCACGTCCCATTCGACTGGTTGGAAGGTAATATTGTAACATTTGACAATGTATTCGTATGTGTGGCTCATAAATGATCCTTGTATGTTTGGCTTAATCATAAAAAAATCTTCCTTGGCACATGTGGAGACGAGGAAGGAAAACTTGATATTCAATCAATTCATTTACTGGTAATTATGTTCTAGTACAAAAAGTAGATGGATCACATTCCCACAGCAGGAGCGAGAAGTTGATCCAGTTTCTGCAAATTACCGAGTGTAGGCAGTCCTCGTTTGTATGTGTGCACCTTTTCTCAGTACACGTGTAGTTAGTCTACAACCGTTCATGTAATTACAGGATGTGTTCTGTAAGGTAGAGCTTGGACTGACTTCAGAGCCAGACTCAGAGAGACACAAGAAAAAAAAAAAATATGAGAAGATCCGAAAAATTTAAAAGTGAGAAAAGAACAGTCTCATGTTTTTATGGTAGTTTCAGTTTAATCGAGAGACATAAGATTAAACAAAAACACATTACATAAAAGTTATACTTGCATGAAATAAACGTTTGATCCTCAAGTAAAACATGACTTGGTACTTGGTGGAGGAACCCTTTTTGGCAAGTGCATTTGTGCATAAGATGTTTCCTGTAGTTTGGTACCACATTTGCATACGTCTCAGGAGGGATTATGACCCACTCCTCTTTACAGGAATGCTTGAGGTTTCTTGGCTGCTCAGCAACTCGAAGCTTAAGCTCCCTCCATAGGTACTTTTTTTTATAGGGTAGAGGTCTGGGGGTTGGCTAGCTGCTCCTTTGTTGTGTTGTATTGTCTGTATTTTTGGGGGGTTATTGGTCATTGCCTAAAGACCCATCTGTGATCCACCTTCAGTCTTCTGGCTGCGGGAAAGGAGATTCTCATGATTTTAGGGTACATGGTCCCATGGGCAGCACGGTGGCACGGTGGTTAGCACTGTTGCCGCACAGCAAGAAGGTCCTGAGTTCAATTCCAACATCAGGCCGGGGTCATTCTGTGTGGAGTTTGCATGTTCTCACCGTGTTTGCGTGGGTTCCCTCTGGGTACTCCGGCTTCCTCCCACCGTCCAAAGACATGCAGCTTGTGGGGATAGGTTAATTGGATAATCCAAATTGTCACTAGGTGTGAATGTGTGAGTGAATGTGAGTGCGAATGGTTGTCTGTCCCTGTGTGTTGGCCCTGCGACAGACTGGCGACCTGTCCAGGGTGTACCCTGCCTCTCGCCCTATGACAGCTGGGATAGGCTCCAGCGCCCCCCGCGACCCTGAAAAGGATAAGCGGAAGCGAATGGATGGATGGATGGGTCCCATCCATTGGCCTCTCAGTCCTATGAAGTCGTCCTGCACGCTTAGCAGAAAAACAACCCCCAAGCATGTTTCCATTTCCTGCTTGTCTGTAGGGATGGTATTTTGTGGGTCATATTCAGCATTTTTCTTGCTCCAAACACGACAGATCGAGTTGGTCCCAGAGGGCTGAATTTTTGGTTATACCTGACAACCGCACTCTTTCTCCAAAGCCTACTCAGAATCATTTAGATGTTCACTGGAAAACTTCAGTTAGAGGTTGGGTTATCTTCAAAACAGAAGGGTAAAAAGTCATGTTACATAAACAAACACACATGATTTCTGCCTTTCTCATCCACAGTTTGACTTTACTTGACTTTTAAAAGTCAAGCGTGACACTTATCGGATTTGAATGTATTCAAAAAGCATTCAGGCTGTTAAATCATTGACCAACTGTTTTATAAACCAGACTTTTTATAGCTGATTTAGACTTCTGGTCTTAGTCTTTGTAGACGCTTCAACATAACCTCCATAAGTGGCTGACACCGTTGTTAGTTTTATGTGTCAGCCTCGATGGAAACTGATAAAATGCTGATTTGGCAGATGACAGATTTTACGCCTGAGTTCCTGTCACAACTTCAAAGGGGTTTTGTGTCTCTAGCTGGAACGAATCAACAATCTCTCCAAGTCACCAAGCTACCCACTGTGGCGACCCCTTGTGGATAAGATAGCAGCAGAAAGTAGCTTTTTATTACTGCCGACGATGTCACCAGCAGCTAGCTATCTCGAGGTTTCATTATTTTTCTCTCTCTTTGTTGCAGCTCATGCTTTGGTCTGTCCTGTATTATGATGGCCACCTCTGCCTACAAGACCGACAGTGAGTAAAAACAGACAAGATATTGATGAGATAAATGATGCAAAATGGCACACAGGCTTTATAGAAGTCTGTATACCTGGATTTTTTTTTAATCACTGTAAAAACAAACTGATTTTTATCACTGATCAATAAGGTATCTATCTATTTGCATGACAAATGAGTTATTTAAAAAAAATTGTTCCTACCTGTCACTCATAACTTATAATTTTAAGCCTAATTAAAATTTAGATTAATTTTAGGGTTATATGAAAGTGTCTGTCACACTGGCTGGAACCATTTTATGTACCAGCTTGTTTATTTAAGCTGCTGTCTGTGTTGCTCAATATTACACTTAAACCACAGAGAAAGTGAAGGAGTTGCAGCTGCATCAATGTGTTTCACCACACCCTCATCTTCACACCACTTCACAAGTTAAAAGCCAACTGCTTTAGTGAATATCCGCTGCGGTTAAATTTTAAGGCCCATGGTAATTTGCTTGTTTTTGAAGGCGGTCTCCTTAAATGTTAACTTAAACTGACTTCTTGTAAAATGAAGTCCTCCAGTTTACCAAAGCGAGTTTTAATGTTTCTCTTGCTTTCTCTGCAGTCCTCTCAGCGCTCATCTTCCTGGCTCTTTCTCTGAATGGCTTCGGAGGCATCTGCCTGACCTTCACCTCCATCACGGTAAGACACATGGCTAACAGGCGAAGGGATAAGACATGCAGTATGGCTGATTAATTGAGGGGAATAGTGTGATATATATATATATACTGCACAGGCAGCTCAATATATAACCTATCCAGAGCCCTCATCAGTTGTTTCAGTTCAGTTCTTTCTGCTGTGACAAAACAAATTTCCCACGTGTGGGACTAATAAAGCTTGTCTTGTCTTGTCTTGTCAACGGCCAGTTCCAGTGCAGTTGGTTTCATGTTCACATCTCATTTATTGGTATCGTTGTGTCTTTTGTGATGTTGTTAGAACAAGACAATCACTCCACTCAGTACCAGTTTGGATTTATTTTTGGGTGGCAAAGGTCTTATTCCATGTGGTCAACTTTACAAAACCCCTAAATTAAAAGAAGGGAGCCTTTGCATGGACACCATGTCTTGTATTTCTTAACAGTTGATAGTAGTATGACTGGTAATCCTGTGCAGTACAATCAGTAACATTAAATGCTATTAGTCATCTGGTAGTCAGTCAGTAACTCTATGTCCTATAATATAATTTAACACCATCTATTTACATAACTCTTTCTAAGAAAGTAGTGACAGGGTTTTATTTTTTTATTCTTCCTGGAACAAATGAGCAGAAACATTTTAGTAGCATGGTTGGTCTCTCAGCTGACAAAATGGCATGTGTTGTTCTGACTGGGTGGGGGTAAGGGGTGGTGGTGGTACGGTGTGTGATGTCCACATCAGGCATGTGCATATGCGTGTGCTCTATCAGCAAGTGTGTTTTTTTAAATCATTGTCCTGGCAAGTATTTAGGTTGGTGCTTAGTCCTGGTACAGTGTTTTCGTCAGAGTGCACATGACTTCTACCACATGGAAAGTTTCCACCAATTGCAGCCCAAGGGTGACTACACACCCTCCCTAGTGCTCGGCCCCTTTACCTCTAATCAAAGATACTCAAGGACACATTGAGCACACATTGAGCTCTTCCTCGCGACCTTCTTCCTGCTCTCTTCAGTTTCTCCGCTCAGCAGTCAGCAGAATAATCACTACACAACCTTTTAAACTCTGCATGACTGTGCACACATGCGGATGCGCAAATGTGCGCGCACGGGGAGATGAACAAGAAACAGCTGTTTAAATGCTGAAGTTAAAGACTGACTGTGGACAGATGACCTTATCCTGGGACCTTTTTCTCTTTAAGCTTGCAAACTGCTTACGTGGGTGTTTTTACAGAAAGAAAAGCGTTAGAGGAGTCTATTATGAAACTGGATGCCATTGGGTATGAAAGATGTTTAGGGTGATATAAACCAGACAAACAGTGCAGATGTTTAAAAAAAAAAAGTGTAACTTGCAGGGACCTGTTGGTGGTGACTCAGCAGGTAGACTTTTTTCTTGTTTCTACATTGAACAAAATCGCAGCGTTGAATTTTGATGAAATGTTTTGGAAGTAGTCCAGCAGCAAATCGACAGAGTGGTTCGTTCGTTCAGGTTTTTACAGATGCTGCTGACTCATCTTTTTTTTTTTTTTTTTTTTTTTACACAACAGTGAAAGATGTTTAATTAGCACTTCTTCCCCCCCAGGTAGAGGTGTACAAAAACAACACCAATTTTAAAAGCAGAAACGAATGCAAAATTAAGAATATAGCTACGTTTCATACTCGCGTGGCTAACATTACATTAAGGAAACAGGCATAACACATGCAGGAACGTGGAGCTCCTTTTAGTGTTAGCTCACGCCGACACAGAATGTTCTTTCAAGCCTATCAGACAAACACGGCTAATAACACACGCACACACACACACACACACACACACACACACTGTTGAGTAATGATCAGCTGCCCCCTGTTGTTTGTCCCTGACTGACCTCCGTGTCCCTCGTTCCTTCCCTCTGTCGACACTTCTAATCAGGGTGAGGTTTACCAACACCGAGTGACCTCAATGCTGCTGCTTTTCTAAAGAGTGCAAGGGCAGACACACACAGACGTAAATTCACAAATGCCATCATAATTTAAACCATGTGGTCGAGAGTTATACAAGACCATCTCAGTCGTTTTGCGGTATTGTGCTCTGAGTCAGTTACTGGGGGGAAACTCCCAATACAAAGCCCATCATTGGATTTTTATACAATACATAAATATAGTAATTCATTTAGACAGACATTATAACTTCAGATTCTTTAAACTTGGGGCCGGTCTTAATTGGGATGGAAATTCTATGGATGGATTTCCTATAGAAATGTCTGTAGGAACCGCTGATGTCTTTGTCAGTAAGAAGACTGTAAAGCTGACAGAAGCACTGATGAACGTCCACATTTTATCCTCATTCTTTACAGTTTTCACATTTTCCAAAAGTGGACTGGACGTTTGGCGTTGATGAAAGTTTTAACATTTTTAACTCCATAACCTTGATCAGGGTAATTAACTCTGCCTCACTTTCACAGGTACTCTTGGTCCCCCTGTGATGTCCGTACATGTTCAGTGTTATTTTGTAATAATACATTCATGTTGCCAACAATAACACAAGATTGGCATAAAATTGTAAAATCATTTGAAGAGATGCTGTCAATTACAACAACAGGTTAAAAGATTGTGGGTTTTATTTCAAGGAGGAGTGACATAATTGAGTTTGGTTGAATATTAAATAAAAACAACTGAACACTGGGACATTTGAGGTGCAGTATCTTGCACAATGAGCTGAGATCCTGTGTGGGTGATGTAAAAGAACAACAACAGGCGCCAAAAGCTGCAATTGTGACGCCCTGTAGTTTTCAGTTTTCTGATTTCTTTCCTTCATGAAATATTTAGTTTGACTCATTACTGTGCTCAATATGCAAACACACCTTTAGTTTTTTTGGTTTTACCAACTAATTAAAGCCTTAAATGACAACAAGGTGATTCACAGACACCTTCTTTTCCAGTGAGTCACATTGTTAGGAATGCATGAGGTCCTTTGAACGCCCTATGTTCTCTATGTACAGAATGAAAGTTTTTCTGCTCCCAGTATCATGTCATTCATTTTTAAAGGAATGAAGCCTGGCCTGCAACTGACAATGCAAATACTTTACCACTGGCATGCGATTAGACAATGCAGCTACTTCTGTTAATCATGTTCCTTGTAATGACTGTGAAAGTTGTCAGTCTGCTTCTGACCTACTTTTAAATTTACTCAGTGAATAGAAGCAACTTCAGGGAATTGGGGGGGAAAAGGTAATTATCGTACATACCCTAATATTAAAAAGTCCCTAGTCTTTATACAAGTCCACTACAGCAGGCTTTTGACGGCTTTGCTAACACTCTGAAGTTGACAGTTTGACCAAACTGCGAACACTGAGGGAGGGAGCAAAAAGAAGTCTGTGCTAATCGGCTCCAGTTTAGGGTTTCCTGCTGGGATCTCCACAGAGGGAGGCTCTGCAAATGTAGCGTTGGGAGATCAAACACAAAAAGTTTTACTCCTGCTACCTGTCTTTTTTTTTTCTTACCTTGCTGATTTTTTATTTATTTATTTTTTTCTTGTGGCTTGTCCTGTCTGGCAGATTTGTGATCTGAATGTACAGTGGTGAAAGAACAGCTCTTCTTCATGTGAATTACATTATATGTGGTTTGGTATGACAATGCAGAGGCAAGACAGGTGGGGGGTGAATGCACAACTGCCGCACCTGTAAGACACAAAAGACAAAACAAACATACAGAACCTGGAACACAAAAATGAGAAAATACACAGATACATAAGCCAGCAATCTTCTTATAGTGTGTGTGAGTGTGAGAATGCCCGTGTCTTTGTCACAGATGTGCTTGCTGATTTGATACTCCCATCTGTCTTTCTTCCTCTCCTTTTTTTCCTTTCCCTTCTTGCGTCCTGTCTTTCAAAATTTCACTGCTCATTAATCTGCTATTTGGCCCATTCTCCCAGTGATTAAAGTCTTAATTAAACTCAGTGCCAAAGCCTTACAACACCCAAGTGAGTGAGCACGGCAGGAGTAGAGCCTGAACTCATTAGCTGTGGCAAGTGAATGGCTAAATCCTTTTTTTTTATGTGTGTGATTTTGACCCTGTGTGTGCGTCCATACAGTCATGCGTTTGTGTCCACATCCCCCTAGCAGCATTCGCATGCATAAGTGTTGCAAGGCCCTGTAAAAAAAATATTTATTTAATAGGATCTGACAGAACACAGAGGTAGATGATAGACATTTGCACTTTCCATATTTGGTAACCTGACATCTTACAACATGAGATGCAAGCTCGGAGGGCCCCGTTTCCCACATTCCATAAACTTCCACAGCACTGCAGACCTTATGTTCATAGACGAGCTGTAATTCAGTTCTCAGAAGTGCTGAATGAGGACGGGTGTTCTTGCGGTTGTTTTTCTCCTCTCACTCAGACAGGCAGACTCTCTCCTCGAACATCCTCAGGAAAGCTTTTCTTTCCTGTTTACCTGCCAACATCTCACTTCAGTGTCAGCAACTGAAGTGACCTCATGCTTCCTCGATAAAGCGCAGGCACCACAGCTTGCACATCGTCACAGTTATGTAATCTCAGGACAGCAGACAAAATTCATACATGGATGAAAAAGCACACCTCTCACCCACACCTTCCACCTTACATCTTGTTTGGCACAAAGGCCAAAATTTTGATATTTGGTTATAAAACTCCTGAAGACCCTTTTCTATGCAGCTCTGAATCCCAGTGTGTCTAAGTGATGGGAAAATTAAGGACTGCAGAATGTGCTATAAGAAATATTTATAGTAATTAGAAGGGATCTGTAATCTGTTAAAGGTACTATAATTAATATTTTTAACCAACATTTGCTCAAATAACTATGTATAATGTAAGATTAAACAAACTGCGGTTTTCTTAGCTCTACAGAAGTTTATACTCTTCTTACAAATTATTTTAGGTTTTCCCAACCCACAACTTTACTGCTTTGGTTCTCACCGCTATCTCGGTGCAGCTGTTTCCAATGAAAAGCCTTGTGTACACTTGCTGATACGCTAGAAAATACAAAGCGAAGTTACACTAGCAAACATCGCTTGATATTTCACTAAGGATTTGGTGGAGAGGGTAGGGAAAGTAGAGTGAATATTGCATTTAAACGTATAGGCTTGTAACACAGGACTCCAAATAAAATGCTGATGTTGCACCATGTTGACTGGTTGTGCAAACTGAAGCAAGTTGCGTCCAAGTCAGCCGTATCAACTTTCTAAGTAGCCTAAGCTGGTGTTGTTTTCAGCTCATTCTTAATTAATAGAGGTTTAAATAACTTAAAGAGATAATGATTTTTCGCATAAAAAAATTCTATATCTCTATACATCATCTCCCAATAAAAATGTTAGGAGGTCAACGTTGTGCTCCTTTATGTTTAATAAATGCTCTCTGCCTCGATAACGTCAGTGTAAGGGTGTGGAAACTGTCTGGGAGACAACAGTGGCACTGACGGCGTAGGGAGATTAGGTGACGTTTGAAGGAGGTTTGGAAAACTGTGGTCATTGGGAGAAAGAGAAAGAGAGAGAGAGAGAATAGTAAGCTTGTCATCCAGCACAATTAAAATCCTACACATGTGATTTTTATAATCACGATTAACCCATTTAAAACTCTAATTAAAAGGACACTTACTGTGCCACAAGCACAATAGGTCACTGTTGTGTTTGCTAAGCTCCTTGTCACTGTAAATAGGTTGACCTAATATATGGTGTCCTAGTGCCTAATGCCCACCACCTTGCCCCCCTCATGCTAGGTCAGAGGAAACTAGTCAAGTCTGAACTAGTTTGAATTTTATTTCTTTGTTTTAATTGCAAGGATAACAATGTTTCTAAGTATAGCATAATCCATTAATGAGCCATGGGGCCATGTCTTCATTTCTTCTTTGTTTTGACATGGAAACTAATATTTTTAATGAGTCTGCTCTGCAGGAAGAGAGAAGTGTTACTGGGTGCAAACGCTGCAGGCTAGAGCAGTGAACCGTTGCTGTTAGGAGCAACCTCATCAGTGTTCAGTATTTCGTCCTGCTAACACAAAGCAGACCACTGCCCTCTGCTGGCAAAATAACATAGTGAACCTTCACTAAAATAAATGATGAACTCCGGGTAGTCCATGGACCACTGTGAATGTTTTTATATGTGACCATGTCTGTTTTGTCTACATGTCCCTGTGCCTACAGCTCCCCAACATGTTTGGTGCCCTGAGCTCCACCATAATGTCTCTGATGATCGGCTCCTACGCTTCCTCTGCAGTCACCTTCCCTGGAGTCAAGGTAAATTAAGGATATGTTAACAAATACACTGTTAAAGTTACACGCTTAGATGAATTTCTCACATAAACCGGGTGGAGTTGTAACTGTGAGTCTACTTCAGAGTGCCTTTGAAATGTTAGAAATGTTATGGATGGAGTTATAAGGCATAAACATTGAGGTACGCCACTGTAAATAAATGCATAAATGTGTCTGGATGGTTTCTAAGCACGCTCACCGTAAAAACTTTACAAGGTGATAATGTCTGTGTTGTGTTTACAGCTTGTTCTGTTTCCGCCATGTGGTTTAAAAAAAAAAAACAGTGAGCGAGCACACCTTTAAACACAAGTGAAACATGAGTGTAAAAACACAACTTCTTTTCCCTCCCAGGCCATCTACGACGCAGGCGTGTCGTTCACGGTGATCATGTGGACGTGGGCGGGTCTTGCCACATGTGTCTTCATAAATTGTTTTGTAAACTGGCCCAAAGAAGGTTTTCCAACACCTGAAGAGGTGGACTACAGGTCTGTTTGTTTTTGTTTTTTAATATTGATACAGTAACTGTTGATGACAACCGTAACTCCGTAATTGAAACCCTCCTGTTTATTGGTAACAGTAAGATCCTCCATGTTCAAGAGCCACCTTCATCTGAGCAGAAGGTTGTTGGTGAGAGACTGAGCCACCAAAACGGAGACATCCGACGCTCCACAGAGAAGCTTGCTAATGGACATGAGGTTGCACCCAGTAGGTCAACAAATCTGTCCTCTTTTCCTTCTGCAGTTTGCGTGAATGTGAATGGTGCACTATACAAGTGCCAATCTATATTGAGGTAAATAGATTGGATATAGAGCAAGCCATCTACTAATTAAAAAGTTGGTGGTCCAATGTTGAATATTGTGAATGTTGGGTAGAAAAAGCACTTGGGTATAGAAAACAGTGCTTATCCGAATGTAATTGAGGCAATTTAAAATTTTAAAGTGCTTTGAGTGCTTGAGCAGAGTAGAAAAGTGCTATATAAGAACCACTTTACCATTTAACACAGTTGTGCCACTTTGAAGGAGAATATAGTATGTTATAGTTTTGTGGGTAAAACTACATTTTTTCCAACTGTAAAATTTTAAGATTTGTCTTATGGGGTCTTGCTTTTTGACCCCAAAAGATACAGAGTCCCCACACATGTGTGACTGTACGGATATAGGTCCCCCAAAATGAGTAATGCAAGTGTACCCACACACACAGCCACAATGCTCGCAGTCATGCACCTTTTGTTTTGTGGCCACAATAAAATTCTGTCCCATTAATCATCTTGCAACCCCTCAAATTATAAAATTGTAGACAAACTAGAAAAGTGCCTCACGTCTTGCACATGTCAGGCTGAGAACCACTGATTTATTTTGTGTGATATTACTGAGAGACTGGATCTCCCACAAGGTTTACGGTAAAAGTTAGAAATCTGAACCACTTCTCCTGAATTTCCATCACAATCATTACAGGAAAATAAAAACACTCGTCCTCTCACAGATGCGGTTCCTTTCCGTCGGTCTGTGTTTTCTCCCATCTTCCTCTGGAGTCTGGTTACCATGGGGATGTCCCAGTTGAGAATCATCTTTTATATGGGGGCAATGAACAAGATGCTGGAGTTCCTGATCACCCATGGAGAAGAGCACCGTGAGTGTCCAACCCTCAAACACAGTCAGTATTTACAGTACTGTGAAAAACCTTTGAGCAGTACTGACAGAAATGCTCTTTATTATATGTATCTTCCAGCGTCTGGCAAGCTAGCCAAGGAGGCAGAAGACAATGGTGAGCACTGTAGTAATAAGGCTTTAAACTGAAACTTGTTATCTTTGTTATTTTGTCTTCTCTTAATTTAATGTTTTGTCTTTCAGTGGGTTTCTACTCGTCCACCTTTGGCATGCTACAGCTGTTGTGTCTGGCCACATGTCCTCTGATTGGCTACATCATGGACTGGAAGATGAAGGAGTGTGAAGAGGATCAGACAGTCCCCTCAGGCAGACAAGAGAGGTATGTGCAGAGAAACTTGACAGATTTGGGAATAAACATTCATTTATTATTCGCCTTTATTGGGTAGTTTGACAGTAAAGACATGAATATAGGATGATGGAGAAGGACTGACTAGACTGACGAGGCCATTTATATATGAGAAGCACACACTGTATGTTGTGATGGGAACTTCTTTGCCTGTGTCCTCAACAGGCTCACCAGTGGACCCAAAAGAGACCGTAAGATTCAGAAGGTGACAAATGCAATGAGGGCGTTCATCCTCACTAACCTGCTGCTAATTGCATTTGGAGTCTGCTGCCTCATCGACAACCTGCCTCTACAGGTAATGCCTTATTCTGTGACAACAACGATACAACAGTAATTAGTGTGATGCATTAATTCCCTGACTTTTTCCATCTCTTTTCAACCTTAGATCTTGACCTTCATCCTCCACACTATGGTCCGAGGCTTCATCCACTCCTGCTGTGGAGGACTTTATGCTGCTGTGTAAGTGCTGATAAATCTTTGTACAACACAATTACATGCAAAGTTTCACAAAAACCTAATTTTTAAATCACATGGCATTTAAGTGACGTAATAACTGGAAGAAGTGCTCATCAAAGTGAACATATGTTGAGTTTCAGGTTCATTAATAAGACAACTAGGATTTCACTTAATCTTGGAAATGAGACAATGGACTCTTTTCTGACCCATTTAGTGTGATTATCTAACACCATATAAACACCAAAAAGCGCGGCTTTACAGTGTGATAAAAGCAACCAGATGTGGTAACAAAAGGAGGGGGGATCCTGTATTGTGTGCCCGGAGACCACACTGCAACCTTTCAGCTTATGCATTGCTTTATACATTTTATACTTATTCAGTATGACATGCATAATTATGTCATTGTAGGATTGGTACATATCTAATTGTTCATTATCACCCAACATCGTGTGGGCAAACATTAAACTTGTTGGTTATGAGTGCCCTCCAGAGCCACATCAGCATGAAAACAAGCTCTCGCTGGCACTAAATCCTGCATTTCAACATAGATGTTATGTCTCCAACACTAAATCAGCTGTTTTTATTTTATGTATTGTCAGCCTATTGTCACTTGGTATTTCACGCTAACCACTAAATCTTTCCCACAGCTACCCGTCCAACCACTTTGGCACGCTGACAGGCCTCCAGTCCATGATCAGCGCTGTGATCGCCCTGCTGCAGCAGCCACTCTTCATCGCCATGGTTGGACCATTGAAAGGAGACCCCTACTATGTGAGAAAACACATTTTCTCTGCATGCCTGCGAACTTCACAATGAGACGCCCATAAAAAGCTCTCAGCATTGTTTATTGCGCCACCAACTATCCATGGGATAACTGAAATTGTAAATGAAATGAATTTGCATTTGTTAGCTACAGTTTTATACACATTAATTTCATTAGGTAATGAGTGCACTAAGTGAAGACTGAAGAGGCCAAATGGTAATCCTAAATTGGATCATCATGTTGATTCACCTCAAAATGTCCACATGACCACTCAGTGTATGTTAAAACAATCATTCAGGTTTAAAACATAATGAGTCCTAATCACTCGGATCACCTGCAAATGTTTTATCTAGAGCCACATAGTAGGTTGACATTCAGCAAGTATAATATGAATATAGAAAAAATATATATAATATAGCAAAAATATTTGAGCTTGGGTGTCACATGAGTTACAAATCTGAAGACATTCCCTTCTGCTTCTTTTGTTTACTGCAGCTAAACTAGCCTGTGAACATATTAAACACTGTGTTATTTTGAGAATGTTAGCACTGTAACATTAGCATTTTAGCACAAACCATGACTATGCTTAAAGGAGACAAATTATACGTGTCCCTTTGTTTGCTTACATAGTTAAGTAAAATTTAGTGTTTGCTTACATTGGTAAGTAAAATTTAGCCAAATCTTCTGGCTTCAGGCTGGTCTAAACAGGGAATTTTCCTTAAGGTTAAAGCTCTCTACATGCCTGAGATAAAGAGGAGGGGCTTACAAGCCTAGGGTTCTGTTTATGGAAGCCAGATGAGGGGCCAGCCAATCAGAAAAAAGTAGGCTTTTAGGAATGCCCCCCCTAAAAAAAAATACAAACTAAGAGTTAGAAGGGCTGTTTTCAAAGAACAAGCTGCATAATTGGCCAGAATAGGACGCGAGAAAGTTTGAGATTTAATCTGTTGTTGTTGTTTTCAGTTGATCGGTTCTTGCTACATGTTAAATGTAATTTGATTTTATATGGGTTATTGTCTCAGTTGGTTTCAAACAGTTTTAAAGTTTTCTTCCTGTAGTTTAAAAATAGTCACAGTTGAAACTGTCAATTTTAATTATGGCCTGACAATGTGAATCATAATTACAACTGTCCATCTTCCTGATCTTTCTTTCCTGCAGATCAACCTCGGCCTGCTGATCTTCTCGTTTACTGGCTTCCTGTTGCCAGGTTACCTGTTCTACCACTGCAGACAGCTGACGAGGGAAAAGAAGGCCAGAGAAAAGCTGGCTGCCAATCAGGAGATGGAGGCGCTCAACCACACCAACGCCAATGGCTGCAAACCTCACACTAATGGCTTCGCTGCTATAGATGCTTAGAGAACACAACAGCTTAGGATAGGGGGGGACAGTAGGATTAGATATGAAATAAGCAACCATAAAGTTATGTTAAGTTTTGTTTTTTGTTTTGTTTTGTTTTTTTAAGCTGGTGCTAGTTCTCGTAACAAACCACATCAGAAAGAATATGATATCCCACATGTTTGTATTTTAGGGAGATTTGTCATCACTTGTTTTGTTTTTTTATTTATTTTGGTCTAGGTCAAGGATCAAGTTCGTGTGTTTAAAAAGCCATGGATTTCATTTGATATCACAGTACTTGAAATACTATGATATAGTTTTCTAAGACTTATAATCATGACAATACTAGTTAACACCAAAGAACTGCTTGAAGATATTAAGTTACACTTCCAGTTCACAAGCTTGTGGGGATAGGTTAATTGGATAATCCAAATTGTCACTAGGTGTGAATGTGCGAATGAATGTGAGTGTGAATGGTTTTCTGTCCCTGTGTGTTGGCCCTGCGACAGACTGGCGACCTGTCCAAGGTGTACCCTGCCTCTCGCCCTATGACAGCTGGGATAGGCTCCAGCGCCCCCCGCGACCCTGAAAAGGATAAGCGGAAGCGAATGGATGGATGGATGGACTTCCAGTTCAGTATTTTAGGACTCAACCATTTAGTTCTCTATATGGACAAAAGTAATAAGTGACTCATTTCAATAATTGAATTCAGGTGTTTCCAGTCCCACTGCCACAGGTGTATAAAGTTACGTGCCTCACCAGCTGCCTGCCTTTACCAACATACCAACATTTGTGAAATAATGGGTCGCTTTATGGAATTCACTGACTTTAAGCACAGTGCTGTAATAGGATGGCTTTGTTACCACCAGTCAGTTAGTGGGATTTCTTCACTTAGATATTCCATGATTAGTTGTAAAAGGGGTTATTGCAAAGCAGAAGCGTTAAGGAACCACAATTAATTCAGTTAATAAATGGTAAACCAAATAAAGTCATAGAGTGGGGCTATTGAGTGCTGAGGCGCATAATGTGTAAATGTTGCCAACAAGCTGACTTGATAACTCTGGAGTTCCAAACCTCCTGTCGCATTAACATCAGCACAAAAACTGTACGCCAGGAGCTTCGTGGCAGGCCAAGAAGCTCCTGTAAGTGTATTGTGTAGGTGGTCTAAAGTGTAGATTAATAGTGCTTTTTCTACTGTAGTCTCCAACAAACTCTTAACAAAAAAACAAAACAAAAAAAACACACACAGTAAGTAACACTGTTAATACATGTGAAAAAAAAAATCCTAAAGACCTAGACGATTTGAACATTTCAATATTTATGAGAACTTCAGCTCTTCACAAACGTTCTCTGATTGAAACACAGGCGGACACCACATCTACCTCCATTTACTTTTTCTTTTTTTTGTACTGTCACTCTTTAACAGACTCCTTTGCCTATCCAGCATTTTCATTTAAATTAAAATACCCGAGCTGAACAGAGAGATTTCTCCTCGTGCATTTGTGTGATTCAGAGATGAAGTTTAACCAGCTTATTTTCCCCTCACATTCTGAACTCTTTTATAAATATAAACATCTATAGGAACACATTTTGTAACTTTTACAAAGAAAGAACGGGATGGGTTTTGGTAATTGTGACGCACAGTGTGTCAGTGTTGGGGACTACTTTATACTACTTTATGCACAGAAATGAACTAGTGTGTGTATAAAATGTGTATTGAAGTGTAGTTTTTATAATTTCTGTAGCATTAAAAAGGGAAGCGCTTCATTATCAGCTAATGTTATTTTGTAGCGGGCCTATTCTAAAGGAAGCTCGGGTGATTTAATGTTTATTCTGCTCAGTTTTGTATTGCAGGTAAAGCAAACGTCCTCCAGCAAATTGTCTTGTAAATAAGTGTGAGGTGTGACTTGTATTTTATGATCTGCCGCTTGCTTAACATTTTTGTGTACAGTATATTAAGTGAAGACTGAGGAGGAAGTGGCTGGGGTCAAACTTGTTTGTTGTAAATGTGATTTTTAACTCGATAAAAACACATCTAGCTGCAGCACGTGGTCTCAGCCAATGGCTGGCAAAAACAAAATGTATTTTTATTCCAAAGTGTTGTGTACATGATCTACATGACCTTGTGTCATTGTGTTGTGTACATGTTTGTTCTGTACAAGTGTCCACAAATTACAGCACAAATCAGCTTTAATGTATATTTTTAATTGTTTTAATTCAATCCATTTCAATGCCTGGGCAGCTTTCCGTAGATTTTCTGTTATGTTTTGTCATTTTATTTATACACCATTTTCCTGGTCATAGGACGTGTTCAGCTGCTTGACTCTTTGCACGCTTGCTTAGACGTGAGGTTTTTATTTCAGCTTTGTGCCTGTGCTGCTATCTTTGCAATGGAAGTGAAGGCAAGATTAATGCCTCTAGCAAACAGCTTACTCTATACCAGGGGCGGGGGAACTCCAGGCCTCAAGGGCCAGTGTCCTGCAGGTTTTAGATGTGTCCTTGATCCATCACGGCTGATTTAAATGGCTAAATTCAACATGGCTTGAACTTTTCCAGTGGCCTGGTAATGAACTACTCATTTAAATCATCCGTGTTGGATCAACGACACATCTAAAACCTGCAGGACACCGGCCCTTGAGGCCTGACGTTCCCCACACCCTACTCTTAACCAAAGACATCTTTAGGGACTGTGATAACAGTTGCTAGTATAGGAACATAAACCAGGAATGCCTTAATATAAACTATGCACTAGCTCTGCAGTAAAGTCCAATTTGTTGTAAACTCACCTTTAATCTTCCTAGAGGCTGAAATTTTTATTACTTTGAATAGATTAGCATTTGAAAGTTTGAGGTTCTACTTTATGCCATTTCTTTATGTCCTTCTTGTCATGTTAAAATATTTAACAACCATCTGTTGTATTATAGTTCCGTGTAAGTAGCTGTCTGAAAAGCTAATGGCTTCTGCTTTTGTCTTTATATTTGATTAGTAGTTGCCACCTTGAATTTAATCTGTGCCTTTGACAGTCTTGAAAACATCCTTTGCTGTATCTGTAAAGACTGTTAGATGAACTGCCTCCATGATTAGTGTTGAAATGCTGCTTAGCTAAATTAAATCTTGCATCACTATAACCAGCATGTGCATTTGATATATGAATAAATGATCAAATGCCAAGACGTTGCCAGAGTGATCATTATTTTAAACCTGATCGTAATCTAAGACAGACCAAGACACAAGATAGTAACCAAAGTTTATTTAATTTTGGCATTATGGTCAAAAGATATTACAACATTTTTAAAGAGAGAGACACACACACACACACACACACACGTCGTCATCCACAGCACCACACAGCTTATCTGCCTTTTACACTGTACTGAAATCAATCTTTCCATCACATCCTGTCACAGCTCACTCTTTCGCACACCATACATTTATTTCTCTCTTTAAACATACTCTTAATAATACAATTACTTGTAAAATACACACACATCCTCTTACAAAAGTCACGCATCCAAACACAGGCATGCACACAGTGGGCTGTCTATCTGAGGCTGTTGCTGTTGGGTTGTGATCCAGCGAGACCGGGGTGGTCTGGACTGTGGCGGTTCTGTGGGGGGGCAGAAATAGAGTTGTCACACTTATAGGATGAATATAGGTGTGGTCTTCACTGCTGCTGAGTGACATGAAGCAGGAGTTTAGGGAGGCTACATCTGCAGTGGGACCCCAGATGGTTTTAAAATTATTGAGGTTGGCAAACACAATTAAAGACCTTGTTTAGAGATTTGGTGTCTCAGAAAGGACTAAAACTGTGGAGAAAATATGGATCTGGTTTTTGCAGAATATTGCTTAAAGTTAACTGTTTTAGCAGGTTAAAGCAGAGGAGATTAAGAACTTTTCAATGCTTTATTGCAAAAAAGCTTAATTATTTCGATCAGGGATTACTCACAATGTTTGATGAAATCTAGTAAACAAAAATCAGCAGTAGAAGTCATGGTTATGTTTTTTATTTAACCTAAGAACATTTCCACATGCACAATTTTTAAGACAATTTTTTTCAAGGGAATGGGGCTAAACAGCTGTGTAGCCTTAAAAAAAAATAAAAAAAATCACTTATCGGTGAGGTTAACTGGAAAGAAGAAAACTTGCTAGGAAGGAATAAAGACCAAAATCTGAAGGAGTGGGAAAAAAAGGTGATGTGGTGTGATGAGCCGAAATTTAATCTGTTCCAGAGTGACGGGCACATCTTACAGGTGTAAGAAGAGAGGCAGATGAAGTGATGCATAAATCACGCCTGGTGCCTAATGCACAATCCTATGGGGACAGTGTTATGATCTGGGGTTGGTTCAGTTGGTCAGGTTGACAAATGTTATGTAGCAACTTTAAGTTTCTAAAAAATAAATAAATAAATAAAATAAAATAAAATTGTCAGCCAAAAACCTGGATATACTTAATGACTGGATTTTCCACCAATTAATTTTTTGATGGGAGGCTCTTGTTCCAAGATGAAAATGCCAGGATTCAATGGGCTCAAACTGTGTATGACAAATCGTTTCTACACTTGGATTGGCCACCACTGCATTGGTGAAAAGCCTGCGCAACTCTGGAAGTAGATAAATTTAGTCATTAAAGCTCCAGTTAAATAAAATTTTAAAATAGTGCGATTTCAATTTTTTCTTTTGGTTGAGCAGTGTACATACAGGTATCATCATGATCATGTAGTTAAAGCATTCAGATCCCACGACTTTTTGCACATTTGGTGTTTTCCACTGAATTAAGATCAAATGATGCATTTGCAAACATGTAACGGTTTACATATTTGCCTAAAAAGTGAAAGATCCTCACTTTTGATAAGAGACACAAATCCCTTTGTTTTTGTGTGAGGAAGGGTTTTTGGTTTAAAATAAATAAATAAATCTGCCGACTCAAATACGAGGAGCTACTTGAAGTGTCGATCCCTTGTGAATAAGAGATCAGACAAAAGTAGCCTTTAAAAAAATAAAATAAATAAAATACAGAAATTAAAATAAACCTGAAGTGACTATAATAATGAGATCCGTCTAACTAGTTCAGGTAAAGTTTGACAAATGATCTTACCTTCTTCTTTTTCTTGTCTTTCTTCTTTTTCTTGCGATCAGGATCATCATCTCTCTTTTTCTTCTTTTTCTTGGGATCAGAGTCTGACGGCGTTTCTGTGACATCAAACATCAAAATAAGAAAGGTTATTGAAATGATAATATTTGTACCTTTTTGCAGACATGCATGTGGATAAATTTATATCATACCTTGTGGTAATGGATCCTGCGGTCGATGGTGTTTGTGCTTGTGCTTGCTCTTCTTCTTTGGAGGCTGTATGTGCATCAGTCTGTACTGTTCTGGGAGCTGCAAAGATGTGATGAAAAATTAGTTGCGTACTTAATATGCAAATATGAGAATTAAGATCATTTAAATGTCAGTTGAATTTGAATAATCAGTGTCAGTCAGGACGTTGAAAATGTCTGCGTGAACTTTATACTGCATTGTATTGTGTAGTATGTACCGGTCCTGTGTGTAGTCTGAAGCCTGTTAGCAGAGCGCCAGTCAGTGGGCTGAAGGAGTTTCCACACACTGGAGGCTTATCAATCAGAGAGCGTAATGAGCTGCCGTCCTGTGTGCCCGGACAGTCAATCATACCTGCAGAGAAGCAGAAAGGTCAAAACGTAATTGCTCAGCTGTGTTCACAGGTAAATTTAATTAAATATTCAAATCAAAAGAGAAAGAAACAAATAAACTGCTGCAACTTTTTTCCCCTACTGGGTCCCCACCCACTCTTTGTTGTGATCAGTTCTTTTTTCCACATGCATCCCTCTAGTTTTTCCACTTTTTGTAGATTCACTCCATTCTGATAGTTTCAACAATATCCCTCCAGGAATTTGCTGACATTTGTGAGTCCTTATACTGATGTTATGATTATTATTCCTTATATCGATATGATGATTCTCTCACTGATAAATTGTGCAGCAGAAAAGTAGCTGGAAATGCACAGGACGAATCACAATAGTTTCAGACTGCTTCGACCTGACATGTAGTTAAATTTCTATGGGAGGTGCATGTCAGGTTATGTCATAACGTTTTAAGAGAAGTTTGCAGTTATGATGTAGCTTCGCATAAAATTCCCACTGATTCCCACTAATATGTTATATCTGTATTAACTAGTTGTGGATCATGGTTTAACAGCTCCATTATCAGAGTACTCATAAAGATCCAAAACAAGAGATGTGATTAGAGTATTACAATCATCTTTACTATCACATCACATTGTTTATGTCCTGTGCCGTAGCAGAAGAAATGGCTGAAGATAAACTACAAAGTGTTTTTCCAATATGAGTTTATTTTGCAGCCAGTTTCATAACAAAAGGTGGCCTGTATAGTACACTTAAAACTAGATAACCAAAACACACAATAATATAATTGGGATCTTCAGGCCCATGAATGACACCTACACTTAGAATTCATTATTTCAGAACTCATTTGGCATTATTAAATGACCCAAAATGACAAACAATTAAGATATCAGAACTTGTGAAACAGGCTGGTGTGGAGGATAGACTACTTGTATAACTGACACTGACACTTGTGTCAGTCCACTTAAAAGGGAGTTGTCCTTTCCCACTTTCTCCAAGTGGTTGCTCATACGAAAAAGTTCTGATAACTCTCAGTTGTCAATGTGTCCTTTAGTAAAACTCAGTTTAAAGACTTTTTCTCAGTCAGCGGTATCCAACGGACAGTGAGAACCCAGGTTTTAAAATATTTTAGAATATTACATTTCACAGCTATCAAAGCAAAGCTTTACGGCTACTGTCCAACACTGATCACTATAAGATTGTTACTAAACAGTTATCCGACCACATCTGTGACTGTAGCACCCACCTGGTAACTCTGGCAGAAAGTTGCTGAGCTTCTCCTTCACCTTCTTCCCGCAGAACTTATTGTAAGCGTGCTCCAGGTTGTAGTGCGTGATGAGGTTGGTGTTTCCCGTTAACTCGTTCCCCACTAAGCACACACACCAAATTCATATCATTTGTAACCAATCTGTACATAAATGTTTGTGAAATAGATGGCCATTTCCAAAGGGAACCTGGGCTACTTCAGGGATGTTCATTCCCATAATAACCGTAGTTACACAACATATTTTTAAGCCACAAAAAGGTGTTAAATCTACAGCATTTGTGTTACACACTGAATATAAACGCTTCACTGAAAAACACATCGCTACTAACTACAATCTGCTAACTCAATGTTAGCCCACAACCAGCTAGTCAACCTACGTGAGCTAGTATTGTTTACAAACTATTTAAGCAGCTTTAGATTTCGGCTAAAGTTTAAAAATAAAGGACAAATTAAACACGAAGCACCCAACAGTTACAAGAATTCACCAGTACCAGGCAGCTCCCGCAGTAAATAGAAAGGTTCATTCATAGCTCCAGGCTTCCGTAGAGCAGGCCCTTCATCCCCGAGCTGCGGTGGTATCTGACCCGCCATGGCAACTTGGTTTTGCGGCATAGGCGGTGGAGGCTTCCCCGGTCCAAAACCCAGAGACGAAGAACCAGGTGGTCCCTGAGCTTCATTTGACCCGAAAAGAGTTGAAAACATTTCCGTCATATCTACCTTGAATAATACATTTATATGGAAAGAAAATGCCGGGCTCTTCAAGCTTATGGCCTGCTATCTGCGAGGAAGCTGTTCTCCGTGAATTCGAGTGTCAAGCGCTCTGCTCCTCACTTCTTTTCATGGCCACTTAACGTAATGCAGGCAACAAACACGCACTGTACCGTAACTGTCGGTGTATACAGGACTATAATCACTAACAATTTCCAAAACGTCGTGTTTATTTTCAAACAAACAGGCACAGTAAACAAACTCATTATGTACAATTAAGTTAGTGGACATATTGTGTAATTTGGAAAAATCACACATCAAAAACATCAGCGGGGCAAAGAGATGACGCCAGCCTTTCAAACTCTGTCACTGATACCTAAAAATGAGAGATAAGAACACACATAACAAAACTATTAGTACTCAATTTATTTATGTTACAAGTAGAAAAGTTCTATAACAAGTTACCAAATAAAACCATTAAAGCTACACTGAGACTAAATATACTGAACATCCTCATTAGGAATGATAGAAACATAGAATACAATAGAATAGCTACTTTATTGTTATTCAGATCATCAGTTAGTGCGCATTAGAATGCATTTTCAGTGCATTGACTCGCTTTTAATAATAATATAACAAATAAATCTTAAAATATAATACAAAAAGGACCTAAGATGTATATACACACAAATGTAAGAATATGAGAAAAAAGGTCTATAAACATGTAACAGCTAAAAAAAAGACTGTATGTGATCATCAAAATAAATGTACTGTATAAAGAATATTTTGTATATAAAAATCGAAATGACACAGTTTATACTTCCATACATGCTGAATATGGTTTTTTCATGGATCTTATTAGGGACAAGTCATATCTATTCTGCCAATTATCTACTGTCTCTCTCTCACCTTCCACTCATCAACAGCAGCAGAAATTCGGTGTTCAGTCTGACTGATGCTCTCTCTTCCACCCTGAACCTTCTGTGCTAGAGCAGCATTCTCTGCTTGAATCTTTTTCAGCTCCCGTCGCATGTAGGCCTCCTGCTTTTGATAGTACGGCATCAAAAAGCTGCAAAAGTCCTGCTCAGGGACCCCGCTTGGTCGCCTAAGACAACATTTGAGATGATGAGGGATTAAAATGCTTTGATTGTTAAAAAGCTGAAATAACACAGTGGTGATATGCAGTATAGTAAAGGAAGGCAATATAACTATAATACAAGATGCAAAGTTACCTTTTCAATCTGATTCACTGACTAAATGAAATTCTTAAATATACAGTTAGTACATTTAATGAAAAAATATTTCCACTTAGTTATGTTTCACTATTTAATTAGATAAAAAATAAGAAAAGAGAGAATTTCAGCAGTTTGGTAAGAAAATGCACAAAGCATATATAATTAAATACTCAAGATTTCAGAAGTTCAAGTGTTTTCAAAGCGGTTTACTGACCATGCAGGGTCTGGACTGTCCTTGGTGGCTCTCTCTAGTTTGTCCAGCTCATTCAGTTTTAACTCTAGCTGGCCTTCTTCAATCAGTCTGTTGATATCTTCCTTCATGAGAAGGAAAACACAAACTTTTATGTAAACAAGTTTAAATAAAGACCAGTAGTAGATCAGTGAATATGGCATACAATGAGTATTTGGACAGCTATACAAATGTTGGTTTTGCCCAGGAAAGTTATTTGGTTTGTCCTGTTGAATGACAAAATGCATTTGTAATACTAATTTTACTGCTATCAGCAAGGAAATTGACAATAAATGTCATAAATGTAATAAATGTCATATACAGTGGGGCAAAAAAGTATTTAGTCAGCCACCGATTGTGCAAGTTCCCCCACTTAAAATGATGACAGAGGTCAGTAATTTGCACCAGAGGTACACTTCAACTGTGAGAGACAGAATGTGAAAAAAAAATCCATGAATTCACATGGTAGGATGTGTAAAGAATTTATTCGTAAATCAGGGTGGAAAATAAGTATTTGGTCACCTCAAACAAGGAAAATCTCTGGCTCTCACAGACCTGTAACGTCTTCTGTAAGAAGCTTTTCTGTCCCCCACTCGTTACCTGTATGAATGGCACCTGTTTGAACTCATCATCTGTATAAAAGACACCTGTCCACAGCCTCAAACAGTCAGACTCCAAACGCCGCCATGGCCAAGACCAAAGAGCTTTCGAAGGACACCAGGAAAAGTATTGTAGACCTGCACCAGACTGGGAAGAGTGAATCTACAATAGGCAAGCAGCTTGGTGTGAAAAAATCAACTGTGGGAGCAATCATCAGAAAATGGAAGACATACAAGACCACTGATAATCTCCCACGATCTGGGGCTCCACGCAAGATCTCATCCCGTGGGGTCAAAATGATCATGAGAACGGTGAGCAAAGATCCCAGAGCCACACGGGGGGACCTGGTGAATGACCTGCAGAGAGCTGGGACCAAAGTAACAAAGGTCACCATCAGTAACACACTACAACGGCAGGGAATCAAATCCCGCAGTGCCAGACGTGCTCCGCTGCTGAAGCCAGTGCATGTCCAGGCCCGTCTGAAGTTTGCCAGAGAGCACATGGATGATACAGCAGAGGATTGGGAGAATGTCATGTGGTCAGATGAAACCAAAGTAGAACTTTTTGGTATAAACTCAACTCGTCGTGTTTGGAGGAAGAAGAATACTGAGTTGCATCCCAAGAACACCATACCTACTGTGAAGCATGGGGGTGGAAACATCATGCTATGGGGCTGTTTTTCTGCCAAGGGGACAGGACAACTGATCCGTGTTAAGGACAGAATGAATGGGGCCATGTATCGTGAGATTTTGAGCCAAAACCTCCTTCCATCAGTGAGAACTTTGAAGATGAAACGAGGCTGGGTCTTCCAACATGACAATGATCCAAAACACACCGCCCGGGCAACAAAGGAGTGGCTCCGTAAGAAGCATTTGAAAGTCCTGGAGTGGCCTAGCCAGTCTCCAGACCTCAACCCCATAGAAAATCTGTGGCGGGAGTTGAAAGTCCGTGTTGCTCGGCGACAGCCCCAAAACATCACTGCTCTCGAGAAGATCTGCATGGAGGAATGGGCCAAAATACCAGCTACTGTGTGTGCAAACCTGGTAAAGACCTATAGTAAACGTTTGACCTCTGTTATTGCCAACAAAGGTTATGTTACAAAGTATTGAGTTGTATTTTTGTTATTGACCAAATACTTATTTTCCACCCTGATTTATGAATAAATTCTTTACAAATCCTACCATGTGAATTCATGGATTTTTTTTTCACATTCTGTCTCTCACAGTTGAAGTGTACCTCTGGTGCAAATTACTGACCTCTGTCATCATTTTAGGTGGGGGAACTTGCACAATCGGTGACTGACTAAATACTTTTTTGCCCCACTGTATACAATGTATAAAAAAAAGGTGTACCACACATACAGCCTAAGCAATACACAATGCAAAGGAGGCAAAAGTCCTCCCATTTGTTTGTTTTTAAATACAGGGTTTTAATGTAATATGCTACAGACCTGTATGGTGCTCCGCAGCTCCTCTATGAACTGCTTGTGAATGCTCTCCATTCTCTGAGGGTTCTTACTGTACAGTGGACGAAACATGCTGGCGAATCTGTTAAAACTGTGAGAGAACAGTGTGAACAAAGTAAAGTAAACTATGACCTTTCCTGAAAATGATAGCTAAGGAATAAGTAGATCATTAACATTATAAGACACTACTGCTATGTTAAAAGTACGTTTGGATAGGCCTTCTTATTTGGAGGACAGGAGGGCAGTGGAATTGTTTGGTTTTCATCTGTAAGTAAAATAATATACATTTAAAAAATAATCATAACAGAGTGCCTGTCTGAAGTGTTAGATTTGTCCAAACCAGAGTTCTGAATAATCGTATTAAAGATTTCTTGCTAACAAACACCACAGGATCATTCCTTTGTCAATTTATCTCACTATCTCACATGTGCAAGGGCAAAAAATCTGTATGGGAAAGATACACTTCTTTAAAAGAAATATGTCAAATTCAAGTCCAATATTTATCATAAGTGATCATAAGTAGTCTTCTAGATAACAAAAAATGTAAAATGAAAAAAAAAATGCTAGGGCTCTTAAACAGCCCAACCTCCATCCCTTATTTTTATTTATTTGTTAAAAAAATAATAATAATAATAATAATAACCCTATGATTTTGCACAATTCCCAACAAGCTTCCCTCTGTTTTTCCCCAGAAACGACAACAGACTACACAAACTGCAAGTAAGCTGTTCATCGAATGTTTTTTTTAAAGCTGAGGTTCATTAAATATGAAGCTTTTAACACACTTAGTTGTTAGTTTTACTTTTTAAGTCCCTTATTGTATTACTTTTTTTAAAATTAATCTCGCTATTCCAGGGTTTTTAAGCTATTAAGTTTTATGTTGTTTTTAATGCCTCGGTGTTGTGACACAATGAGTACCCTAAATTTAGGGCTAGATTGAGGAAATATCTTATATATACTCTTGGGGTATTCTAGGTTATTATACTGGAGTTTTATTGGCTCACTTGAGATAAATTAAGACTGTTTGTGTTCTGATAATGAGATCTTCACACTTGGTTTACTGTTTATTTAATGACCACCACCTTTGTAACTATTTGATGAGAAACGTTCAAACCAGCTCTCACCCCTGTTTATATCCTTCGTGCAGAGGTAATATCATGACATACGTGTAGTTCACCGTAAAAACAAGGTAATAAACACAACACCCAACACGTTACCTGACATCTTCGATAAACCTGTTCAGGCTCTTCTGCATGACTTTGTCAAAAAGCTTCATCCTCTTGTACCGAGCCTCCGCCTCCGCTGTCGGTTTATTCGGCATCTGTGAGGAAGCTTCTCCTGTCGCTTCATTAGCCTGGCTTTCAGCTGAATCTTCCGCACCAGTTTTAACCGCACTGTGCACTTCTGTTGCTGACTTACTTTCCTCCATTTTTCAGCTGCCTCTGTTTATGTTTTGCAGCGCCCGCCAAATCTACGGCGAGCCGCCGGACCCAGAAACGACGCCGCCGCCCCCATTTGGCACATGCGCACTGTAACACCGTAGCTCAACAGCTCCAGCTGTCATTTCTCCTCCAACACTCTGTCGCGGTGGTTCGTCTTCTCCGTCAGCATGGGTTTACTCACGGGACTCT